TACCTCAACATAGTTCCGAGAAAAGATCAATTTTTTCGCTCTGTTGCCATGACAACAGGGAACTCTAAAAAGTAAATTCGTCCCGAATTCGCTCTCCGACTTGTTCCTAATGGAGTTTTATCAGATCTCGACAACAGTAGAAGATATAAAGTAAGTCGTAGAGTGAATCCGTGCTGGAAATACTTGAATCTAATAATAGCTTCAGGTACTTGAAAACTTGTCTTTGACTAATATAAAGTTTCCATGGAAGTACTTCCAATCAAATTTTATAAACTCAAAATATAATGGTCAAATACAATTATAATAAAAGCATTTTTTGTATTTAGGACATAATTTAAGCGGAGTTTTTGATTGTATCTTGACTACAGTGTAATAAATTCCCTCAGATAACATTTCTTATTGAAAAGTAAACTTCTCTTAAGGAGCAGCTAGTATTTGACATTCCTATTATGCGAAGTCTATAACTTTTCACCAATATACTTCTTAGGATTAAATCCACAAAAAAGAAACACTATTTAAACAGAGGCGTCGTGCAACTAAATTTTATAAATGCTAAATACTAATAACAACCATAAATTTTTACTTTTATATTATTATCTCATGTCCTTCTCAGCAATAAATCCCAATGTAATAAAAAATATGCTACTGATTTCTTCTTATTATATGCCTCTTGAATTTGTTGAGTAAAAATTTATCATGTTTGCCCACAGATATAGTTGTATGCAACTCAAATCGAGAAATACATGTTAATCTTTATGCATCATATTATCAAAAACTATAAGTGTTGTTTCCACTTTCTCATCAAGCAATTGTTTTGCATTGATATTAGTAACAATAGGTAATGCATTTACATTTCTGTTATGGAGATATTGGAGTTTTATTCAAAGAAATTTGCATTATTATCAGAAAAACGATCCACAGAGACAAATAACACATACATGTAACTATCGGAATAAACAAATTCGGTATCAGTATAAGATAATATTTATTAGAGTAGATCGATTGTTATTTAGGCGTACGACAAACTAGGAGTAAAATGATTTTGGTTAGGTTATTAATAAAGCTATGTGCATATGATTGTTGAAACCAGATCAGGTTTGAAGGCATCAAGATATTCAATGTACTAAGTCGGCTTCACGATTTGGATAAAAAGTATAAAAATACAACTATAACACTATAGGGTTAAGCAAATAGGTATAGGGTTCTGAAGGTATGGAGACAGTTCTAAGATGTGAATCTCACTGCCAAGAGAGGATCATCATAGATGCCCCTAATTTCAATTACAATTGAGTACTCAGTACTGTTCGCATTGCTAAATATAGTTTACACGTCCCATGAGTCTATTTTGAGTACAAATTGTAAATATATCAAACTATTAAAGTCTCTGTTTTTCCAGCGTTGAAAATAAGCAGCGCAGGCATAGGCTTCAGCACAGTCAGATTTTCAAAGCTTTTCAATTGTTCTTTTTAAAGTCCTCTTTGACAGTCGTCCAAGAAAAGTCATTCGACTTCCTCTAGATTATAATTGTTTAGCTGCCTATGGGTGTATGTCTAAGTTTCACCATTGAAATACCTACAGCTAGTCACAATTATTCAGAAGTCAACAGACATCTATATCACTCTTCAGCTATTTTAATAGTAAATAATGACTCTTCATCAAATTTATATTTATTGCCTGTTATCGTTAGTTTAAGACATCGTTGATGTTTCTCTTACTTTTATGTTCGATAAGCACAAGGCCATGGTATTGGAGAAAACTCATACTGCATGTGAAAAAGAATCTGTATGATATTGACTTATTTTTTTCCATATTATTAAGAGAAGAAATGCAAAAATACAGGACAAGTTGTATATAATTACAAGATATGAGATGTCAAGGTTCGAGCGTTGTTTAAATTCATTATAGACGAGAATGATCGTTTTTTTCCTGAGATTTCACAAAATGTTTGATTCATTCTTTCATCATGCCTATTTATATAAATCTGTAAAACACTGAGAAACAAAGTTAGTAATACTAAGCCAATTTTAATTCTAGTCGACATTCGAAATTAGTAAGAACTTGTTGCAATATGGATTCATGCTTACTGTTCTCGATCGATTTGATGAATGCGATAAACAACCAAGACACTTTGAAATTTTCAAAAAATCTTCTAACTTTGCGACTTTTCGATGGTGATTATTTATTTAAAAACAAGAGTTACAATTAAATGACACGTAAGTATGTTAGAATTAAAATACTTAAAGACAAGCACAATATGGTGAGTACGTAGCTATGTATGAGATGCAACGAATTTTTTTATATTAGTACAGCAAAATATTATCATTCACAAAAATTTTTTCTACTAATGTTTAAATAATATTGGTATTATTTCAATGAATTACGTAGATATAGCGATAATCGATATAATTGAGTCAGAAGTTCGAGTTCAACATGCTGAGACCCAACTGTGCTTCCCGCAAAGTCAAGGTCAGGTAATTTTTTTGAGGCTTTGTGGTGGAGTTTTTCAGGTTCCATTATCGCAGCTAGAAGTAGAATAAGAAAATTTACTTGAAATCTTTCAAAAATATTGAGCTACAAAAGTCTCCCTGTGTCAATACATTTAATCGCATTTCAACAAACTAGAGGCATACTGCATTATCGGAAACCGAGCGATATTTTGACGTCGAATATCATATTTATCAATGACGGTAATTCAGTATTGAAAAACTCTTAGATGCCTTCATATTCAACGTAGGAATCTTTTTTCGTGTAGGACAAAGTGTAGCACAAAATCGAATTCAAATCGATTGACTTTTGATCAAAAGTCGATTTAAAGGAGGGTATAAATGCAAGCGCGAATAGGAAGGTATCAAGAACAAACTAAGATTCTCGGTCTGAATTCGATATTGACCGTAATCGATAGTTCCGTTTGAGACTAGGCTTTCCGACAGTAGTGTAAGAATTTTCTATAGAAAATTTTTGGCTTTTTCTAAGAAAGTGGCAGTCCTAGTGCACCCTTAAACGCATGGGATATACCTGAAAGTACTTGAAAGAAAAATATAACAATAGATCTGCGGTGGGAAGATTGCCGATCTAGGTGCATACGTAGGTGTGAATTGAGGAAGCATTCACCTCTGTATCCACATTTTAAAATAAGGANCCCACACCCACACCCACACCCACACCACCACACCCCCCCCCACACCCACCCCACACCCACACCCCACACCCACATCCTACTGGATTACGAGTCGTTGTCTCAAAAGTACTGTATGGTCATGTTTCCTTCAGTCAAGAATTGTAAAGTATTGCCCAAAAGTCTGGACTTCTTTCTGTAAATTGACGATATCTATACGAATGCTTGTTCCTGCAATTTATCGGGGTGTGAGTGTAGTTGCAGGCTCTTTTTACCTGCACCCACGTGAATAAGGAGATTGAACTTGAACTCTGAACTGCTCAGCTCGCACTCCAAGACCCAGTTCGGGTTCGCTTCACGTATACTACAAAGAGTGTGGGTGTGCCTGTGGGTGAAATGAACAACACTGATACATACTGACGTCCGCAGTCACACCAGCCACACCGACGTCAACACCCACACTCATGCACACCCATACAGAACTGCGTATATCACTGTTAGTAGCATAAAGAGCCACTTTTAGAACGTGTTTATGAAACGAAAGGTTTGATTCTTATCTGTTAACACGTGTTATCGGTGTGATGCAAAAAGGATTTCATTCCTATTGGGCGTTTCTGACTCACCTCTTGATGCAATGTTATTGTAAAACTAGGAGTGTACCGCTCACGCTCATGAGCGTGGGTGTGGCTGTTACTGTAGATGTGGGTGTGGGTGTAGATGTTTCTGAAAAGAAGATGCACATCCACATTCACATCCCACACCCACAGCCACATTCACATCCCACACCCACCCACACCCACACCCAGTTTAAGACATCGTTGATGTTTCACTTACTTTTATGTTTGATGAGCACAATGCAATGGTATTGGAGAAAACCCATACTCCATGTGAAAAGGAATCCACATGATATTTACTTATTTTTTTCCATATTATCAAGAGAAGAAATGCAAAAATACAGGATAAGTTGTATATAATTACAAGATATGAGATGCCAAGGTTCGAGCATTGTTTGAATTCATTATCCCGTCAAGTCAAGGTTAGGTAATTTTTTTGAGGCTTTGTGGCGGAGTTTTTCAGGTTTCATTATAGCAGTTAGAAGTAGAGTAAGAAAATTTACTTGAAATCTTTCAAAAATATTGTATTATGAAATCTTCTTGTTTCAATACATTTAATCACATTTTAACAAACCAGAGGCATATTGCATTATTGGGAACCGAGCGATATTTTGACAACGAATATCATGTTTATCAATGATAGTAATTCAGTATCAAAACAATCTTAGATGTCTTCATATTCAACGTAGGAATCTTTTTTCCTGTAAGTCAATGTGTAGTACAAAATCGAATTCAAATCGATTGATTTTTGATCAAGAGTCGATTTAAAGGAGGGTATGAATAGAAAGGTACCAAAAACGTACCAAGATTCTCGGTCTGAATTCGATATTAACTATAATCGAGAGTCTCGTTGGAGGGAGACTAGGCTTCGGACAGTAGTGTAAGCATTTTCTATAGAAAATTTTTGGCTTTGTCTAAGAAAGTGACAGTCCTGGTGCACCCTTAAACGCATGGGATATACCTAAAAGTAGTTAAAAGAAAAATATTACGATAGATCTGCAGCGGGAAAATTGTCGATCTCGGTGCATACATAGGTGTGAATTGAGGAGGCATTCACCTATGCATCCACATTTTAAAATAAGGAAGGAAGAATTTTTTCACTTCGAAATAAATCATTTTCCTTTTATTTAAGTCGAATATTTCATTGTATATGGCAGCTTTTTTATTTTCTTTTAGTCTTAGTTCTTATTTGTAATTCAGTTTCTTTTCTTTTTCATTTATAGAAATATCATTTTTAGATAAAAAGTAGATCACTTGTTGATATAGAAGAAATGTCTGTAAAACTTGGTGATGATTTTCCAAATTATAGACTACGAACAACTTTTGGTAATATTCAATTGTATGATTGGCTCGGAAATAAGTTTGTCATCGTCTTACTTTTAAACGAAACATTTCAATTTTGCGTTGTTTTAGATGGGGTATTTTATTTTCTTATCCAGCAGACTTAACACCTGTTTGTACAACTGAATTATCACGTGCCGCTAAATTAGAACCACATTTTGCTATGAGAAATGCAAAATTAATAGGCTTATCATGCGACAGTATTGAAATTCATCGGGGATGGATAAAAGTACGTCTTAAGTTTTATCTTAACTATTTGTTTATTTTGATTACTTAGGATATTCAAAGTTACGGTTCTATAGAACTACCTTCAGGTGAATTTCCATTTCCAATCATTGACGATAGTGATAGAAAATTAACTAGGGAACTTGGCATGAGTGATCCGGCTGAATTTGAAAAAAATGGCTTACCACGTACTGCTCGCGCTGTAAGTTTTATTCTATTCATCATTATTAAACTAAAGCTGTTTAATTTTTAATGTATTTTTTATTGGTCCTGACAAGAAAGTAAAAGCAACATTACTGTATCCAGCAGCGTGTGGCAGAAATTTTGAGTATGCTTCTTATTTTCCACTTATTAATTGATATCGTCAATTTTTCTGTTTTAGTGAAATTCTTCGTCTACTTGATGCATTACAGATCGCTGATCGTTTCCGCGTTGCTACGCCAGTTGATTGGAAGGTTTAATAATTTCTTTTTTTGCTGCCTTTTTTATTGCAATTTATTATTTTGAAAGGTTGGTGACAAAGTGATGATTCCACCCAATGTTGATGACAACGAAGTTGAAAAGTATTTTCCACAAGGTGTTACAGTTAAGAGAGATCTTCCAAGTGGAAAAGGCTATATTCGTACGACAGATGTTTAAAAATGTTCATGCTTTTGTATTTTTTCCTCTTTAATAAATAAGGCCGTCTTCCTCGATATTAAACGTTAAAAGACATTTAGGAGAAAAAATTAGTCTTTACACTATCCTGGAGTACTTATAAAGATTATAGCTACGTCTGTGAATCTTGTAGAAACTCGTACGCTGTCATTTTTGTCTGACCAAAATGAATACAGACAGATGTGTTTTTTAACTAAAAAAAATAAAGAGCATTACTTCTCACGTTCAAGTTAATCTGTATATAGATACAATAAATTGATTGACATAGATCCGCTTGTTCGAGATTAGTTCGATTTTGGTGCAATCTGATATTTTGTCTTATAAGATAATCCTATTTAAACATATTCGATGAAAAGCATTTCGGAGCAACGTCGTTGTTCAGTGTACTTGATCTTTTTCTGACTGTAAGAGACCTATTAGAAAACTATATATTCTTGCAGGATCCATCCTTTTTGTGTATTGTTTAATAAATAAGCAAGTCGTAGACTTTTTCCTACTTCCAACAATCAAAACAAAAAGTAATTATATTGTCGATGTGAGTATGAATGTGCGGGAGACATGCAGTAAATTCAGTTCTTTTCAACTCAAATATAATTGAATCAAGTCTCAATTGATAAGTTCAGATTATAGTCGAAGTCAAAGCGATCAAAATAAAATTAGAGAAACCGAGCAAAATTAAAACCATTAAGGTTCATTTTGCTACTGCTTCTGATGTGGTCTGTGTGGGTGGGTTGGAAATATTGCAGATGTGGAGTCTTGTGTTTCAGGTAGTTCTCTATCGATACCCACATCCACAGCCATATCCATACTCGCACCCATCGATAGCCACTATTGCAACAATACTGCGAATGAATGGATAGCTGCATAAATCAAATTCAATCTCGTATATGTTGTCTTTAAGCTTTGACGGTACTCTTACCGCTGCATGACCTTCTCAGCACTTAGCTTAAGCTTCTTCCATAGACTCAAAGGATAGAGTCTAGAAATTGCAATTCGTCTGTGTTCTCCTGTCCCTCTATCTGTCAATAACAAACATGGTACAAATGACCACTTACACTGAGCAAACCATCGTCGGATTCAGCGGAGAAACACACTAAATTCTTCGCCATTGTAGTGACGGAGCCATTGGATGAGTACAGGATGTGCCCCTCTGTGTATTGTTTTCTTCAGCCACGCGTTTTAGTAACTAGGTGAGAATTAATATCTCCTTGTTGCCCCTCTGGAATACTATTGAGCTCTCTCCGCTCATTTCCGAAACATGTATTTTATGGATTAGGATGAAAGAGATTTTTATCCACCCACCCCGACTCGTTCGCCTAATCCGGAACCGCAGTTCAGCTACTGCCTGCCTCCACCTCCCATGTTGCAGCTTGTATTAGTTTGTGTTTATTTTATTGGTTTTCCTTGAGCATTTTTCATTTCCATCTGATTCGTGCCTTACTTTCAATTCTTTGCTCTCTCCCTGTGTCTTCATTCAATTTATCTGTTAATCCCTTCTAAATAGCAGAACCCATTTCTGACACAAACACCAGATTTCATGTTCGCCGATAGATTCGCACTGATAAATTCTGTCAGCCCACGGGTGCGGGATGTCGGTGTTAGTGTGAGCATGAGGTGTGGGTGTCACTAAAGGCAAAGCTAACACTCACATCCAGACCCCTCCCCTATACCCAAATCCACACACTCAGCCAAGCTCACATCCTACACACAGATCCACACCCACATATCTATATCTCACGCGCATATTCTAATCGTAAGAAGCATAAAAGTAGCTGAATTTTTAGTTCGAAGAAATATTTTGACAGCTATTCAATACAGAAGTACTGAGTGAATTAGATGAATAGGCAATCAGGAAGAAGCTTAATACTAACCACTACAAAGTATGCGATAAATCATAAACTTCAACAGATGTGGGATGGAATTCACTCTATCAAATCAAAGATGAGAAAGATATCGGTTTGTTACTTGATATTTGCCACATGAAACAGTAATGAATAACGACAAACAGAGATGGTGTGGAGTGTGGGTTTAGATAGGTCTATTTTCTTCAGAACCATATCAGCACTCTGTAAGATTTTCAATAAAAACTTGAAATTTAAAATCTATCTTTCAACAAATCATTTCTTCCTCTCATAATAGCACCCCTCATCGCCCATCACATTCCTGAATATTTCATTTTGTAATGGAACTGAATTGAATAAACTTTACATTTATCACATTGATCAATTTGTTATTGAATTACATGATAAAAATCCTCATTAAATTGAGTAATATATCTCACATGTGATCATGTCGATTTATTCCATTCGGTGTCCAACATACTTTATAGGAGAAGATATTCGATGATTATAATTTGTTTGATAAGCGAAAACATTTAGAATTATAAAGTAAATTTTCAGCTTTACTATCGATCATTGCTTCACATGTTTTTGAATAATGTTTATTGATATATTTTGATATTTCACTATCGAATAAATGTTCACGAAAATTTTCGAGTGTGGCTGTGGTTTGTTTGTCGAATAACCCAATCCCACACACCCAACTTGAATAAATGTTAAAGTTTTAACAAATTAAACAGGATTATATGAATAGCTTTTCATTGAACTAGAGCACAAGAAGATGATAATGAAATAACAATTTAGCTACAAATGATAATGAACTTCAAGCAGAAACGAGCGCCACATTGAAAAAATAGAAAAGATAATTAAAATAAAAGGATAAGTCAAGCCTACTTGAATCTTCTTTAATGTCTCGTTATCTCGCCATTAAATAATTATTCATGTCAATCTCTCTATGAGTAGACCGTTATTATATCGTGGCGAGTTGGGCATATATGTATTTACTGTCAAAGTACAAAGTGACAAAACAAAACAATTAAATACAATAAAAATACAATAAAGTTAAAGATATTCTTTATTAATCCAAGACAAAAGTTCCACGTTATTTCCAATACCTTTTACTTTTTTAAATTGCATTCTATTTTGATTGTTCTAAAGAATTATGAATAGATTTAAAACAAGATTAGGTCTTTCCGCATTTCAACAGTCTTTAGAAGAACAAAATCTTTATTGTTCACATAAATTTTACTGATAATTTTTTTCGCCTAGTTCTTATCGAAATCGAGCATAATATGATTAAAGTATTCGAATTTGCTTAATTCTCATTTAAGAAAAAGAAGAAACTTTTCTTCTTCAAACTGCAAATAATATTCTCATTGCGTCTGAGTATAGCTGGCCATATACTGATTTTAATTAAATAACGATATTATGCAATACCAAATATATCAAATGTATAAAGTAAATGCAAGAAACATATCAGAATATAAATCCGGAGGAGCACGTTGACAGTAACTCTTCTACCTTTGAAATTCAACTTTGCCACATCTTGCTATACTCTTGCTTTCAGTGGCAAGTTTTACCCTTGGAGCGGACAGATTTTCTTTATATTATTAGTCTTCTGTAGGCATATACGTTGCTCATTATTGTAATTTCGTTATAGTTCATATTTTCTGTCATTCACTCGAAGTTTTAGATTTATCTTTCGACAATGCTTTTGGTCTAGATGTATTGAACAGTAATAAAATTCTTATAAGTCTCTATTAATTACAAAAATGGTCTTTAGTTGTAGAGAGAAATTTTATTCTATTTTGAAAAATAAAAGGCTCAAGAATTAAAAAATTCTGTAGCAATAAATAGAGTAGAAATTAATATTAAAGTAGAGTGTGGGTGTAGGTATGGGCGTGGAGCTCGATATATGTATGGGAATGGAAAGAAGACAACACCCACACCCACCCAAATCCCAATCATTCCTGCGTGATTTGAAGTGAAAAGAGTGCACTTTGGTTTTTTGAAAGAAAATATTATGTTCTTCTGCTAGCAGATATCAACATGATTCTACAGATAATTCGGTTCGTGTATTCGATGAAAAGTAAAATGTGCACTTCTGGAAGACAGGTTGATGGAAGGAATCAGATAAAAAGGTTTCTAAATATGCGAAGTGATTTTTATCTTCGCCTAGATCTGTTACACAATGTTGAGACGAGCGAGTCAGTCATCATTAGAGCTGAGCATAGAGATATTTGTACTGTTAGCTACGAATTCAAACCGAACGTACAATAAATGACCAGAACAGAACTGAGCTTCACAAATATACAATATTAGCCTCCCTTGGCTATCTGGTACCGAGGTATGACGGTTTTACTGTTTTGTCGACCTCTAACAAATCATATATCAAATAATGAAATTACAGAATTTCGATATGAAAAGATCTAATGGGCATCATAACGTTCTAACCCCCCACCCCCCCCCCCCCCCCCCCCGCCCCCCCCCCCCCCCCCCCCCCCCCCCCCCCCCCCCCCCCCCCCCCCCC